GGACTTGCATGGCAACCTTCAGAGACAGGAGTGTGCGCAGCGCAAAAAGGCTCTCGAAGAAGCTGCTGAACGGGAACTGGCTCCGGGTAGACGCTCACGGCTTGTCGCGTTGAAGCAGGCCTTTCATCGTCGCGCTCAGTTGTGGAATCCTCTTGCTCGGCGGAAATTCTTATCGGGGCTTCTCGTTGACGGGGCCCAGCAGGGAGAACAGCTTCGGGAAGGTGGGCAGGCAGTGGGGGCTGAAGATATGCTAGCTGACGGGCTGGCGAGATACTGGGCCCCCGTGTTCTCCAAGGTCTCCGAGGTGCCCCCTGGAGGTGAGCAATATCTAAGGAGGTTCTCGAGTACCGTCGACTTCTCCAACATCCGCCCCCCCATGATCGAGGATATCCATCGCTTTCTCCGTCGGGTATCTTGGTCGGCTCCTGGCCCCGACGGCCTGCGCTACATTGCGTGGAAGTCTGGGCTTGGGCCTCAGGTCCTTATGGTGGTGCTCCAGTGGATCCTAGCGGGGAATCTCATGCCGTCCTCCTTCTCGGCGCTCCTGGCGGTGTTTATTCCGAAATCGGCGAAGGGTTCCCAGATCGAACCCGACTCTGGAGGGGCCCTTAGGTCAGCTGGTGACACGCGGCCCCTGGGGCTGAAGAACACGTCGAATAAGGTGATCTGCTCTGTCTTGAATGGGAAGTTGCAGTCGGTCGTCCAAACGATAGGAGCGAGAACTCAGAACGGCTTCATCCGGCATCGGAACTTTCTCAACAATGTGGTTGATCTTGATGTATTTGCACGGATCGCCAGTATCGTGTCCCAGGATGATCCGACGAACTCGCCGTCCCTCATGACATTTGATTTTGCACAAGCGTTCCCCTCGGTCAGTCAGAAGTGGCTGTTTCGGTGTCTTCATCATCTACATCTTCCTGGCCCCCTTACACGTGCTCTCGAGGTCCTTTACTTCTGGTCGCCCTGTTACTATGGTGGTGCTAGCCTCTCTCTGCTCTACTTCATGGACTCAGGGGTCCTACAAGGCTGTCCGTTAAGTGGTTCGCTCTATGTCATTGCTGCCAACTCGTTCCTGCTGGATATCGAAGTATCCCTGAGCAATGGTTCAGTGTCTCTCGGGGCTGCTCGTGCGTGTGCAGATGATCTGGGGGCAGTCATTAGGAAGAATCGGGGATACCCACGGCTTGCTCGTGTTTTCCGCAATGCTCGTCTGTTCGCCAACCTGGTGCTCAAGCCTGCTAGATGCTTTGTGATACCCCTTCGTGGTCCCGCCTGCGAACCGTACACTTCGGAACTGCGACAGGTTTTGATCGATGCCGACGCTGAGTGGGCAGACTTCCAAATGGTAGACGTGTGCACTTACTTGGGATTTCAGATCGGCCCTGGGGCCACGATTGACGCACAGTGGTCGGAGGCGCTGGCCAAACATGCATCTCGTACAGTTGAGTTGAGCCGACAAGGGGCCCCTGTGCAAGTTGCTGCTAAGTTGTATGCCGATCGGGCGCTTCCTGTTTTGGGCTATGTCTCGCAGCTGGTCCCTCTTGGGTGGAAGGAGTGTCAACGGCAGCGCCATCTTGTGGCGCGGATTCTGCGGGCGCCGAGTTCGATGTTGAGAATGGGCGATTGCTTTGCTCTGGCTGAATGGGGTGGGCCGAGGTTCACATCCATGTTTGTGCTGGCCGCGGCGACTCGCATGCGGTCCGCTCTCACGACGTGCTCCACATGGCAGGCAAGGCTCGGAAGGTTGCGGCAGGTGGTGACGGACATGGGGTGCGCGAGCCTCTGGAACGCTGCGGTGATGGCCCCACCCTTCTGGAGGTGCCCACCGTTTGCATGGTTCTTGGAGCAAGGTGCACTCGGCTTCGAACAAGATCGACAGCTTAGTATTGGTGGTGCGATGGCTCGAGCACTGTGGGCAGGCAGGCTTGGAAGAGGTGAACTTTCCCGCCTCTTTGGGCCAGCTGCTCTCCCTGGACAGCTGGAGAGGTTGCTGTGCAGCCGCGAAGATCCGCAGGAGGAGAGGGCGAGGAGAACCCCGAGGACCAAATGGCAGAGTATCTTCTATCAGATATTGTTGAGGAACGTCTTCCCGCCGAAGCTGGAGGAGCTGGTCGGGCGGCGGTTGTGGCGGCATTTCAGGATTCGAGCGTCTGATCTGCAGGCAGTGCAACAGACTTTGCAGGCTGTCCCTCCAAGTTGGGCGGTTGTTGCTTTGAAAACTTTCCTTGGTGGATGGATTACGAACCGACGGATGCAGAGAGATGCGAGATGTATTTATGGGTGCGAGCACGGAGCTGACACCATCGCGCACTATGTCGTGCGCTGCCAGCGATGCCATCACTTTGCTGCTTTGGTGCTCCGTAATGATATTCCTGGCAATGTGGCTTTCAGGATTGGTGTCAGGGGTGGCAATCTGGCATTTTTGATGGCGATCTATCATCATTACCGCCTCATGTCGAGAGTACATACTGAGGCGCCCCAGTACGCAGGTGCCCTCAAGCTGGTCGAAGCTGCCCGTCTGGCTGTACGTCTGCCGTTGAGGGGTGGTCAGAGGCGCATGCTTCGACGATCTGAGCTGCAGAAAGTTGTGCTGGCAAGTCGAGCGGCTTCCTCCTCTTCTTCATCACCCAGCTCGTCATATGAGTCAGAAGGGAGTGCCGCTGGAGACGGACAGGGGGATGGTCCCGATGTCAGAACGCGAGTGGCTGGCGTTAGATCGCAAATCCCAGACGAGTGCGCCTCGAGCTCGGGCTGGGTTCAGTCGTCACGTGCTGGTTCGTCATCGTGTGGAGAGACGGGCTCGTCCTTGATGTCAGACGGCGCGTCCTCTGTGGCTGGAGTCGCTGGCGGTGATGATGTGCATGCTGCTGAGTCGGGTGTCAGAACGCTAGGTGACGGCGTTAGATCGCAAATCCCAGACGAGTGCGCCTCGAGCTTGAGCTGGGTTCAGTCGCCACGTGCTGGACTCCCACACAGTGATGAGGCGATCAGAACGCAAAGTCCTGGATCCCACGGGTGCTCCTCGAGCCCGTGGCTTTCCCAGGCTCGGTCGCCACGAATCCTGGTATCGAATTGTACAACGTCGTCTTGGATGGCATTGCCGCCGACATCGACGGCGGGGTGGGCCTCACCGGCGTCAAGGTGGCCGCGTTTGCTGCCGCGGGTGAGGCCGCCTGATGCTGAGTGTGCTCCGCCTCTCTTGTCCCATGGCAGTGGCAGCGGTGAGGTAGGTAGTCGAATTCGGGAGAGTGAGTCAGGTTGCAGCTGGAGGTTTGATGGTAGTAGCAGTGGGGAGGAGAAGAGGGGCAGCAGGCGCCGACAAAGCCACGAGCGTCGCTGGCCCCCGCCCCCGCCGTAGAGTTGATCCTGGGACGTGCTCAGGGTACGCTCCGCCTCCACCTCCTCCTCCTCCTCATCATCATCATCCTCATCCTCATCCTCATCCTCATCCTAATCCTCCCCCTCCTCATCCTCCTTCTGCTGCTCCTCTTCCTCCTCCTCCTCCGCCTCCTCCTCCTCCTCCTCCTCCTCCTCCTCCTCCTCCTCCTCCTCCCCCTCCTCCCCCTCCTCCCCCTCCTCGCCCTCCCCTCCTCGGGTCGCCTACGGCCCCGGGGGAAACCGTCCAGGAGGAGGATCATACGGCGCGCGCCTTCCGGAGGAGGAGCACCGCTCGACCGCTCGACCGATCGGGATCGGTTTTTAGCATCAGTCGGGCGCTTCCCTCCACAAGCGGAACATTCGAAAATAGCAAAAAATGATGGGGACGATGTTTTGAGTACTTTTGTCTATGTGGGAGTCTTTTTTGTTTAAAGAAACGGAAGAAGAAACATGCGTCCAAAATCAGCATGTCAGACCTAATGTTAGCAGTCTTCCTGTTGCCTCTGGACCGCCGATCTGGGGCCAGAGCCTGGCCAGGCTGGGCCCCGCGCTCCCGAGGAGGATCGCCCCGAGCCCCATCGCCCCACCGGGCTCGGCTTCCGGCGGTCCTCTCGCTGCTCCTGGAGGCCGCGCTGGGGGGCCCCGGGGTCGAGGATCCGCCGACCTGGGGCGCAGGCCTGGCCGGGCTGGACCCCACTTGGCATCGCTCGGACGTGTGCAGTTTTCCTCCGGCGAGGGGCACTGCTGTCGGCTGCTTTGTCGCGCGCGTGCGGTCGGATAGCCCCCCAGAGGGGCAGCGGATCTCAAGTGTGGCAGAGCGATCGAATCGAACCTTCAGGCGATTTCGTTGCCGGGGGAAAAAAAAAAGAAGTTTTCCTCCGGCGAGGACCATCGAGGAGCATCCTTGATCAGGTGGCGAACAAGCCACGCACGAAACGGCGTCGGGGGCGCACCGGGGCGGGGCATCCGCGCTCCCGGCGTCTCCTCGCCGCTGGCCCCTGCGCAAGGTGCTGCCTCTCGCTGCGGGCCCGGCGGGCCTGCCTCTCGGGCGAGGAGTCCCGCTCCTGCGAGAAGGCTCCCCTCCCGCCAACCCTCGGAGCCCGAGGCAGCCCGGCGAGGCAGAATTTTAGGAGATGCCACATGCGAGCCCTACACCCCCTGCCCCCCACGATTTCTGAGGGGGGGAGGGTGGGCTTCACTTCGCGCGGGAGCTCCCGAACGAAGTGAACCCCACCCTCCCCCTCAGAAATCGTGGGGGGCAGGGGTAGGGTTCGCATGTGGCCCCCTAAGAATGGATGGATCCCCCCCTCCCTGGAGCGCGGAGCGCGCCAGGGGCGATGCCCGAGGCGCCGCCAGGGGGTCCAGCGCCGATTCGAGAAATTTGCGCGACCTCTGAGCGTTTACATGCTTTATCTTAGCGTTTTCCTTTGTTTTGTCGTCGTCGTCGCCGCCGCCGCCCTCGCCGCCGTCGTCGTCGTCGTCGTCGTCGTCGTCGTCGTCGTCGTCGTCGTCGTCGTCGTCGTCGTCGTCGTCATTTTTCGCACTTCCGCCCTCGTGCGTCGTCGTCGTCGTCGTCGTCGTCGTCGTCGTCATTTTTCGCACTTCCGCCCTCGTGCCCCCCTAGTCCGCAGCCGCCGGGGCTCGAGAGCAGCAGCGACGCCTGCACGCACTGCAGCATCGGAGGGCGATCCAGCCGTGCACGCCTGCACCGGTCTATTGCCCGACCCCTCCCGGGGAGCAGAGACGCGCCCTCGGGGGCGCGAGGCGAACTCGCGCTGCGCGTTTCGGCTCCGCTTCCGCCTCATCCCCCCCCCATGTAGAACCCGGAAGGTAGGGCTACCCTAGGCCTACCCCTGGGCCTACCCCCTAGGCCTGCCCTAGCTAGGCTTACCCCCTAGGCCTACCCTGGGCCTCCCCCTCTCCCCTGGGGGGCGGCGCGAGGGCGCGACGCCGGTTCGCGCCTCGCGCTGCTCGCCGCGCGAAAAGCGCCCTCGGTGATCCTCGGCGTCTGGCTCTCGGGCCGTGCTTCGGGCCTCTGGCGGCCGTGCTGGACGATCCGGCGGGCACCCCCAGGGACTCGGCGAGGCGCAGCTCCTCCTCCTCCTCCTCCTCCTCCTCCTCCTCCTCCTCCTCCTCCTCCTGCCCCCTCCTCCTCCTGCCCCCTCCTCCTCCCCCTCCTCCTCCCCCTCTCGGGACGGTCTCGGCGAGGCCCCGATGCGCCCGTGGTGAAACGCAACACGTGCGGTAGGTTCATGCGGCGTTGGCGCGCCGGCGACGCCGGCGAAGGCGTTCGAGGTCGAATTCTGCGACGCGGAAGCACCGAGGGGCGCGCGGTGACGCCACAGGGCCCGGCCGAGTTCAACCTGGGAGGATCGGGGTGGAACGAGCGACGCCGAGTCGAAACCTTTGCGCGTGCCGACGCCACACGAACCTACCGTACCGTGTCCAAGACGAGCGTGTCAACACGCTGCGCGCTGGCTCGGCACGTGTCAGTCCGCGAGCGTATCGCGCCAGACCTACGTGTCGCATGCCGTGTATCGGGGCAGCCAAGGCTGAGATGCCTACCGCTGTTTGCGAAATAGGCGCCTGCCGGTAAAAGCGCCGTGAAGACCCACCCCGGACCCCGTATCTCAATGTTGGCCGACGACCGCGCTGGAAGGGAGTGCGACGTGTTGGGAAATAAACGCTCACTTCCTTGCAAGGGGCTGCTGCTTGCCCGTCACCCTTGACATATGGGGGGCGCGCGCGCGCTGGCGCATTGTTTTCTAGACCTGAGACTGGCGTGTAAATTTCGCAATCCACGGTGTCGGTGTGGGTGGATCGCTGCCGCCCTCCCATCCCCAGACATGCGACGTCCTGATGTTTTCAGGACGGCGTCCCCGGAAGTCCCGACCCTTCCCCCGGGGCCCGTTTTCCGTCCCGAGTCGTTTTTTGCCAGTCCCGAGGGCCGGCGAGGGCACCCCGAGGCCGAACATAGCCCAAAGTCCTCCCGCCCGGATTTTTTTTTACGCGACGCCACCATGTCTGGGTCCGCAGCGCCGCCCCCGCCGAGATGGCCCGGCTCCTGCCGCTGTGCGCCGCGTGTGCCGGCGCCTACGCCGTCGTCCTGTGCCTCGCAGCCCTCTCCGCGCCCGCGCCAGCCGCGTTCCTCGCGGCGCCCGCGCCCGGGCGGCGCGAGGCCGTGCAGGGCGCCGCCGCGGTGCTCGCTGCGGCGGTCGGCGGTGAGGCTCGGCGGCCCTCCTCCCTCCCTCCTCCTCCTCCTCTCCCTCCTCCCTCCTCCCTCCTCCCTCCTCCCCTCCTCCTCCTCCTCCTCCTCCTCCTCCTCCTCCTCCTCCTCCTCCTCCTCCTCCCTCCTCCTCCTCCTCCCTCCTCCTCCCTCCTCCTCCTCCCCTCCTCCTCCTCCTCCTCCTCCTCCTCCTCCTCCTCCTCCTTACAGAAAGGAACATGAGCTGGTGCGCTCTGGTCTCAGACTGCCGGATTACACCTCACCATGGACTTCTGTGCATATGAGTACAACAGTGGAGGAAGGTTGGAGTTTGGTTTGCAGACGACGGCGTACTAAATGTAAAGAAAAAGCTGAAGGTGAGCAGGATGGCACGATTGCACGGCTTGTTCTGTCTATCAAGCAGTTTCACGGCTTCGTACATCGAGTGCAACAACAGCAAGAGCTCCTGCAACTTTTGGAGCCTGAAGCACGTGAATTTTTCATGGCTGGTGTGGCTGTTCTCTCGGATTCACAGTTTGAGAAGAGGGCCTTCAGTATAATCGAACGAGCTGATGATTTTATACAGCAGGTCCAGCGCAAGAGTGAACAAGATTGGAAGTGTTGGATTGGTAAGGCCTTTTTAAATGGCGCTGGACAGGCGCACAAGGCCTCCAAGACCAAGGCGCTGGCTGCATCCATCGAGTGTACTACACGTACGCAACCATATCAACTTGCAGATGATGAGATGTGGAAGTGGCGTGAAGTCTGGACATGTCATGATACCAAGCGTGTGGAACTACCGCAGGGCTCCAGTGGCTGGGATGAGTTGCCCTTTATTCAGGTCCAGGACATCAGGGAGGCCGCCTACTCCTTTCCCTGGAAGACCTCGGTTGGCTACACGAGAATTCATCCCAGGAACTTCGGGTACGTCTCGGACCAGGGATTGGCTGTCTTGGGAGCTCTGTACATGGTATGTGAACGCATGATGATATGGCCATCACATCGCATAATAAATGAAATGGTTAAGATTGCGAAACCAGATGGAGGGCTCGACTTATCACACTAATAGAAAGCATGGTAAGGCTATGGGCACGCGTGCGTAGACCTGTATCACAACAGTGGTTGCGTGCACATCCTAGTCCACACATATGGGGCAATCGTAGAGGCTTCTCGTCTACATACGCTGCATATGAGCACAATCTACAAGCCGAAGTAGCGCATCATCTAGGGGAACATGCGATCACTATCGTAGTGGACATGTGGAAATGCTTCGAGACAGTGCTGTTTCCTGCTCTCCTCAATGAGGCACAGTGCATGTCTTTTCCGCTTCGTCTACTGTGGCTGCTGTTGGAGACGTATGCGCAGCCCCGAGTGATCCGTGCATATGGATGCTGGAGCATCCCGACTCGTGCGCTGCAGGGCATATTGGCGGGATGCACACATGCCACCACGCTCTTAACGGTTCTTACATATCGTGCGGTCGTGAAGGTGCACACACACTTCAGGGACGTCATGCCTCGCGCGCTTGTTGATGACAGCACGTTCCAGTGGACAGGTAATGACATTTCGGGCGCAGCCAACTTGCAGCGCGCGGTGTATATGTTCAGCCAGGATGCTGCTAAGCTAGGCATGATCATTAAGTTCGAGAAGTCAGGTGTTGTAACGAATACGAAGAGAGCGTTGAAAGGGTTCCTAGGCAGGGCCCAGCAGCTACGCCTGTCGGCCAAGAAATGGATTCGAAACCTCGGTCATGAGATGCCAGGGATCCGTCCAGTTCGGAAACAGGCACAGGCTAGAATGAAGTCTCTTCGTGCTCGTCTTCCTCGCCTGCAGATGCTGCGCCGAGGAGCGGGTGTACAGGTCGCCGCTCTATGGCGCACAGGACTGCTACCTGCTGTTGGCCACGGCGCTGCTGTGGCAGGTATCACACCTTCGGAGCTTGCCAGCATGCGAAAGATTGCTGGCACGCTATGCGGACGCACCTCTGGTCATAACTCGCTCACGTTGGTATTAGCCACGCAGAAGGATAGGCTATATGATCCCATATATCACGCCACGCTGGAGCCCCTCAAGGCCTACTGCAGTTTCGTGTGGGATCAAAGGGTGTCATTGGGACGTCCACAAAGGGGCTGGATGGCCCTCCAGGGTAAGATCAAGCAGAAGATGTCTTGGGATGGGGTTCGTGGGCCCATGGAGGTTCTGGTACTTACTCTGTCACGTATAGGATGGAGCATGAGCTCTAGCACCACGATTGTTGATGACCAGGGCTACGTGCTGGACCTTCTGCGCCTGCCGCCCAAGACTATTTTGGAGTTTGCCCGCCAAGGTGTGGGGCGCTGGCAGGGCAGGCAGATCTTGGCCCACCATCAAGATATATGCTATGGACATGAAGTCATATGGATGCGCGTGCTGAGGAAGTGTGTTGGTGGGGCCAAGGCTGCAGTTCGCAGTTCAAGATTTTCGGGTGCGCTTCGCACCCTATGGTCAGGAGGCTTCTGGACGAGGGACAGGCAGCACCAAGCAGGGTACAACACTCCTGCTAAATGTCCATGGTGTCCCTCGGAACGCTCCACACTCGGTCATTGTATTTATGATTGCCAAGGATTGTATGATGATTGTTATGACGAAGACTTGGCGTGGGATCCGAAGAATAATGTGTGCTATGAATATCTCAGGGCACGAGGAGTTCCAGGTCTGGGGCCTCCTGACTGGGATAGGTTCGACTGCTGCATGTGCATGCCCATGTACCCTGCGGTGCCCCCGAAGGTCTCATATGGGCTCGAGGTTCACCTCTGGGGCGACTGGGATTCGGACCGAAGTGGCTGGACCTCCCTGGTGTTCACCGATGGGTCGGGGCTTGCTCCTGGACTTCCTGAAATTACCAGATGTGGTTGGGGATTCGTTTGTTTGGGAGACAATGGGCTACCAGTCAGAGGGGCGTACGGTCCCCTCGAGGGGCCATGGCAGACGGTAGGAAGGGCTGAGAGAGCGGCCCTGTACTATGCTTTGAAGTACCTGCCCGACGTCAGACTGGTGGTGTCGGACTTGTCCAGCCTGGTCAAAGAAGGAGCCAGCTGGGACCATGCCCTCCAGGAGGCTGACGCCTCGTATGCTGATTTATGGAGGCAGATTTTCGCGTTGATGGACGGCAAGGACGTTTGTCCTCCAAATTTTTATTGGTGCCCTGCTCACAAGACGGCTCAGCAGTTTACCGAGCAGGATTGCCATCCATGGGAGTACTTTCTTGGCAATGCTTGGGCCGACAGGTTCGCTAAATGGGGCGCATGTTGTCATGACCCGTCTGAGACCCTGGAGATGTCGTTGGAATCGAATATATGTGATGCTAAACTGCAGGCCAGGATGTTGTCATGGGTGGTGTGCAAGATGGCGTATCGTGACTCATTGACTGAGCGGCCCAGTAGGTTAGCCAGACCCCCTGCCCCAGTCAGGCCCGTTAGACTCACGGCCCACGAGATGGCCGTTCTCTCGCCAGGAGTCTTCCAGTGTAGGTCTTGTCTTGGGCTTGCTAGGACCCAGGCGAGCCTCAGCAGGTTTCTAGGGACCCAGTGTGAGCCCACGGCCCAACAGAGGCTCAGAGCCAGTATGCTAACTGAGCTACAGAGCGCGCCTCCGATGCAGGCGGAGGCTGTGCGGGTGGCCCTAGAATTTTCTGACTCCCTCGAGGGCGTTTCCGCGAATGCGAATCCGACTGAGCCGCCTCCCGAGGAGGTGGTGGAGCTCAACGGGCACCAGGTGCTCGTTACCCCCAAGTGCATGGTCTGCACTTCTTGTGGCTCCTATCAGGTGTCTTCTGGCAAGGTGAATAACTGTAAGCTTGGATCTGCGGCCTGTAATGGCGCGTCCCAGCACGGGCCTACCCGATCTAGGCAGAAATACATCATCTCAGCCTGTAGGGCTGGGAAGGACCCTAAGACGGGCAAGGTGTTAACCTAATTTTGTATGGGTATGGCCCGTGCTCCTGTCCTTCAGTTGCACGACTGGTCGGCCGCGTCTCCTCCTCCTCCTCCTCCTCCTCCCTCCTCCCTCCTCCTTTCTCCCTCCTCCTCCTCCCTCCTCCCTCCTCCCTCCTCCCTCCTCCTCCTCCTTCTCCCTCCTCCTCCTCTCCTCCTCCTCCCTCCTCCCTCCTCCCTCCTCCTCCTCCTCCTCCTCCTCCTCCTCCTCCTCCTCCTGCTGCTCCTCCCTCCTCCCTCCTCCCTCCTCCCTCCTCCCTCCTCCCTCCTCCCTCCTCCCTCCTCCCTCCTCCTCCTCCCTCCTCCTCCTCCCTCCTCCCTCCTCCCTCCTCCCTCCTTCCCCCTCCTCCTCCTGCTCCTCCTCCTCCTCCTGCTCCTCCTCTCCTCCTCCTCCTCCTCCTCCTCCTCCTCCTCCTCCTCCTCCTCCTCCTCCTCCTACCCTGCCCGAGAGGGCCTCCTGAGAGGACTTCCCGAGAGGGCTCCCAGAGGCAGGGGCACGCGGGCTTCCCGAAGGTTTTGGGCGGATATTTCCCATGCTCGCCTCCGCCGGCTTTCGGCCCCCCAAGACATTCCCCATGGGGCCGCCAAGACGGCTCCCAGATTGCCGAGGACGGCCCCGAGAGGGCCCCAGGACCAGGACGACTGCAACCCCTGCGGGTGTAAGTGGCGCTCGCCATGGAGGGCAGGGGTCCTGAGGGAAACGGGTGCTGAGATGTTTTTCGCTGGCTCCATGGGCGCCACGTGGGCCTTAGGGTCGTCAAACACTCATCCATATGATGAAGAGCTGGTCCCTGGGAAACGCCCCGGGATCCAGGACCCGCTTCCCTCAAGTCCCGTTCCCTTCATGATCCTTCATGCGAAGGTGCGGGGGATTTGGGGGTATGGGACACCCCCGCTGGGCTTCACCTGGCTGCAGAAGTCCTTCAGATTCTGACCCCCCCCACCAGTTCTTCAGAAGTCTGACCTGCAAGCCCAGACCTCCGATGTCTTGATTCCCCCATCAGTGCTTGCACTGAAGAGGTCCTAGCGGAAGTTGAAAGATTTGGCGAAAGTTTCCCGCTGATTTTTGTAGCAGGCTGGGTTCCAGGGTTCCAGGTTCCGGGCTCCCGGGTTCTTTTGGTTCCGGGCCGATTTCGGTGGGTTCTGGGTTCCCGGGCTCCCGGGTTCCCGGTCGATCTCATCAGCGAAAACCATCCATTGATTGCGGCTTCTCTCTGATGTAATTTTCTCAGTGCGGGCCCCATGGAGAGATCTGGACCACTTCCTCTGGACCACTTCACGGGGACCAGTTGTTCCTCTTGATCGTTGCTCGACACTCCACAGGGGCCGTTGAAGGCCCCCGGAGGCCGGAACTTGCCAAACATGTCCCGTCGCCATTCTTCACGATGCGGGCACGTCTGGTCTTCGTCAGGGGTCTGGCCTGCAGGCGCAGAGTTCACATGCGGTTGCCCAGAGGCGGCGCTGGCCGACTTCCAGGGCGAACCGGTGACCTGCATGAAGAGGTGCTCCAGTCAGGGGCAATGCTGGCGGCGCGCACGAGTCGGGGGGCGGCCAGGAGGAGGGTGATACGACTGGGTGGTGGATCTCATGGCCAGGGCCGTGAAGTCGCCCCAGGTTTCATGGCCCCCTCTTCTTCTGCCAATGCGCTCCCTGGTCCCTCCCCCCCTCTCGGGCGCCGAAATCTGTACATATCCATTGCTCCCTGGCCAGGCCCATCCTGAACCCAGGAGCTGTGTATACGCCCTCCTGTTTTTGAAAACTGGAAATTCTTGATAATCGAGTGTGCGCGCATACTGGTGCGCAGAAGACGAGTGGGGGGGGCCGATGCCGGCCTGCTTGGGATGGTACGAATTCAAATTTAGGGTGGACGATTGGGCAGAATCACGTGTGAGTTGCCATGCGACAAACGGAGTAGTTAATTCAGGGGGGGGTCCCAACGCTCATTTAGACAAGAGAACTCACCAATGCTCGCAGTGAGTTGTCAACTCCACTGCTCGCGCAATCATCCCGCCACCCGCCCGCAATTGGGTCTGCAAAGCCCATGCGACGGCGATTGCGATGAGTGCTTACCGTTGGCTGGTGCATCTCTGCGGCCGCGCTAGCCCGCGCATGCTCGCGCGCGCAGTGTCCAGCCAGTTTGGCGCGATCGACGCGGCCGCGGTAGGCGCGATGGTGAGAGTAGCGATGATGGTGACGATGGTGGCGATGACGATGGCAAGGCCACTGGCGGCGCCGATGTTGATCGCGCCCGCCGATAAAGATGACAATGTCCTCGCGTCGGCGACGAAGGTGTTGGTGTGAGTTCGACATTCCCGCGCAGCCGACGCGCGCGAGCAGCCCGAGTGACATTATTTGATGCGGATCGTTGCTCCCCCCCAGCGCTCGCGCAAGGGCGTTCGGATGAGTTCGACATGTGGCGCGAGAGGCCCTTTTGGCGAAATTTGATGACAATCTCGAAGAATGTATGTTCTGTTTGTAGTATTGGCAAAAGCGCGCGCGCGGGCCCTTTTGAAAACTGACTTTGCAAAACCTCTTGTGTTTTAATTGTTTTCGGGGTGTTCGATTTTGAAATCCTTGCGTCACCTGCGGTTTTTTAGCGATTTCGGCATGCGCGCGCGACGGCGCGCGCGTACACTTCGTTTAGTTTTTTGGCAGTGGGTTCTTGCGGCACCACAGGCGCGAGGGCGATCGAACGATTTCGACGTGCGCGCTCGAGAGGCCCGTTTGGTAGCATTTTTCTGGTGGAAATGTTGAAACATTGTGTTTTCTGCAGAATCTGAGTGCGAGAGCATTTTTTGATTGAGAATCCACTGGGCGATGCCATGTGTATTGTGACACTCGATTTTGGAATCCTCGCGTGAATCCTTCGGTTTTAAAGAGATTCCGGCATGCGCGCGCGACGACGCGCGCGTGCGTCGTATTTGTTGCCAGGGATTGTTGAAATCTGGCGGCTTGTGATAAATGACTGTGCGTTTTTTGTTGTTGTTCCTTCCGAGGGGATGAGGGGTGGCGGATGCTGGCCTGGCTGGGGCGGCATGAATTCAAATCTAAGGTGAGCGATGGGGCAGACCCAGACATAACTTGCAATGCGACAAGGGAGGCCGTGAATTCTGGGGGGACGGGGGGGCGTAGATCCGAATGCTTCTTAAAATTGAGAATATGTGTGGCACGGCATAGGTTTGCGCAATCTATGTAGTGCAACTCGTTGGCCGAGCTTGAAGTTGTCAGCTCCACTGCTCGCGCAATCATCCCAATCGCCCAGCCGCAACTCAGTTTGCACAACCCATGCGGAAGCGATTGCGATGACTGCTGGGTGTTGGCTGGTGCATCTCTGCGGCCAAGCGCATGCGCCCCGCGTGGTATTTGTTTTGCCGGGGGTTGCGGCCCAGGCAGGCGCGCGACCGATGTTGAAGGCGTTCGACGCGCGCGCATAGGTTGCTCGCGCGACTGAAATGTTGAACAACCATTGGTGGTTTTGGATTCGGGAAGCGCGCGCGGGTATTTTTTCTTGAAGTATGTTTCGAGAATGTATGGTACGATTCGCGTGATTCCATGGAGCTCGGTCTTGAAATGGTTGAAACCGTAATGTGTTTGGAAGGATTTCGACTTGCGCTCGCGGCGGCCGCGCGCATGTCCCTCGCATGCTTTGTCGCCCTGGCATGCGCGCGACCGTTGTTGAACGAGATTGACGCACGCGCAGAAGTTGTGCAAGAAACCCGATTTGACATGAATGTTGAACAACCGTTGGTTTTTGAAGGATTCGGCACGAGCGCGGGGGCAGATTGTTCAGAATTTTCTGGTGAGAACGTTGTATTTTCATAGTTTCCTTGAAGCGGGATGTTGGACATGTTGAAAGCACAGTGTGTTTGGAAGGGCCCGACATGCGCGCGCAGGGGCCGCGCGCGCACGCCCCGCGTGGTATTCTTTACGAGGGATCCAGGGACCAACCGCGCCACCTTATAGTATTTATATATATATACATATTTTACAAGGGGGCCGAGGGGGGGCGATGCCGTCCTGGCTGGGGCATGTTCTGCATAGGTTCCCGTGGAATCGATAAGTCCGGAGAGGGGGGTGGGGGGGGGGGGCGAAATTATTTCCCTTTTATAAAAAGGGGATGGATTTGAACAAACGAGTTGACACATCGCATGATCTTGCAAACATTCCACCCACGCCGCCGCAACTTGGTTTGCATAGCCCATGCGGTGGCGATTGCGACGCATGCTTGGCGTTGGCTGGTGCATCTCTGCGGCCGCGCCAACCCTGGCGCGCGCGCGCAGCGGCCAACTCTTTCGGCGCCGCCGACGCGGCCGCGGTGGCGCTGACCGCTGGGCGCATCCCAGCGGGCGCTTCACTGCGAGTCGGCGATTTGGGCGGTGCGCGGCATTGTGGCAGCGCCGACAACGGTAGACGCGATGATGCTAGTAGCGATGCTGGTGGCGATGTTCGCACCGTCGAAGGCGCGGCCAGCGCGGGCGCCGATGCTGATCGCGCCGGCGACGATGACGGCGCCCTCGCGTCGGTGATGAAGGTTTTGGAAGGAATTCGACACGCGCGCAAGGCCGACGCGCGAGCGTGGCCCGCGCGGGCTTGTTTGGCGCGGATCGCGCCCCCCCCCCCTGCGCGCGCAAGGGCGCGCGAATGGTGTCGGCGTGCGGTGCCAGGGGCCCGTTTGGCAGACTTCAATGAACATGTTGCGCAATCTACGGTTTTCTTAAGACTTCGCTATATACGCACCAATAGACATACACATAAACACGTTATATGCAGACTTGCATATATATATATATATATATATATATATATATATATATATGTCTATGAAAACGGATTTTGCGAAATCACGTTTTTTAACTGTGCGTTCGGACATTCGGCATTGAAGTCGTTGCGAAGCCGAAGGCGCGAGAAGTTGTTAGGCATGCGCGCGACGATGCGCGCGCGAGCTCTTCGCTTCATTTTGTCGCGCGGGCTTCTCGCGGCGGCGCGCGCGCCTAGGCGTTCGAGCGATTTCGTTTCGCGCGCGCGCGAAATCCGCGATTGAGCATTGTTTGAAATGCGTCAACCACCATTTGTGTTCTCAACGATTGGTAAGGGTGCGCGCAGTTTTTTTCCAAGCATTTTATACATATATATTTATATACACATGTATATGTATACATAAATACATATATATATTTTTATATATATATATATATATATATATGCGACGACGTGCGCGCGCACACTTTTTTCCTCTCTCTCTCTCTCTCGCTCTCGCTCTCTCTCTCTCTCTCTCTCTCTCTCTCTCTCGCGCTCTCTCTCTCTCTTTCTCTCTCTCTCTCTCTCTTTTTTTTTTTTTTTTCTCTCTCTCTCTCTCTCTCTCTCTCTCTCTCTCTCTCTCCCTCTCTCTCTCTCTGTCCTCTCTCTCTCTCTATAGATGTATATCCATCAGATAAATCATACCCCCACCCCCAGGGATTCTTGAAAATGCTTGGTTTTCGATCTGCGAGTGCGCTCGCGTATTTCTGCGCGGAGGACTGCGGGGGGGGTGGGGGCGAGGTGGGTGTGTGTGTGTGTGGGGGGGGGGGGGGGATGCTGGCTGGGCTGGGATGGTGCGGTTTTATATCTACGATGGGCGATGGGGCCGAACTACATGTATCTTGCAACGCAACAAGGTGGACCGATGCAGCAGGGGGGGTCCTCATTCTTTTATAGAAATGAGAGTTCTCCCAGCCGGAATTGAGGTTGCCAGCTCCACCGCTTGCGCAAACATCCCGCCCGCCCACTTGCTATTTGGTTTGCGTAGCCCATGCGACGGCGATTGCGATGAGTGCTCGGCGTTGGCTGGTTCATCCCTGCGGCCGCGCAAGCCCGCGCATGCTCGCGCGCGCAGCGACCAGCTAGCGCGGCGCGGCCGACGCGGCCGCGGCCGCGCTGACCGCTGGGCGCCCCCAGCGGGCACGGCAGCGCGAGTCGGTGACTTGAGTGGACGCGGTACTACGGCGACGCCGACAACGGTAGACGCGACGATGATGGCGGCGTCGATGGCGGCGATAACGACGGCAAGGCCAACGGCGGCGCCGACGTTGACCACGCCCGCGCCGACGTTGACCACGCCCGCCGATCACGATGACAATGTCCTCGCGTCGGTGATGGCGGTGTTGGAGGGAGTTCGACGCGCGCGCGGCCGACGCGCGCGAGTGGCCCGCGCGGCATCATTTGGCGCGGATCCTGCCCCCCGCTCAGCACGCGCGCAAGTGCGCTCGAATGAGTTCGACATGCGGCGCGAGAGGCTCGTTTGGCAGGATTTAATGGGAACGATGAGCAACCGATGGTTTGTTAAGGTTTTCGCCAGAGTGCGCGCTCGTTTTTTTTTTGCGTCATTTGAAATCTGAGGCTGCAGAACCATGTGTTCTTAGATGTTTTCGAAACACTTGTTTTTGGCATCCGCGCGAAGCCGTCGGTTTATGAACGATTTCGGCATGGGCGCGCGACGACGCGCGCGCGCTCCGCCCATTTTTTT